TATTTCTTACTTAGGTACCATCAAGATAATTTGAAAACCACAGCCCTAAAAGTTGTCATGCTCTGTCCTGTGGACCAGGGTGCAATTCAGGGCCTGGTCAGAGGTGAGATGAAGACAGAAGAATGGGGAATGTGTCTGTTGGAAAGGGCTGATCAAAAAAGGACCACACTACACTAAGTCTATGTTAAATTTACAAGACAAGAAGAGAGCTTGTGATTGAATAATTCACAAATTGCACCCCCTTAAGGTGAGAAAATGAACTTTTCTCCTCTTGTGTTCTTCCCTTGCCTTGGACCTGGAGTAGCACCCCTGGACACCATTCAGACCCACCAACTCAGAGTCACGGAGTCTTGGTGTAAAATCAGGCAGCATCTGGAAGGGGATGACTTGAGGCTTCAATCAACAAAGCACCCTAAGATGCTATTTCTTTTCTCCCTTAGAGGGAGAGGATGAAAAACCTAACACTTACCTCTGTTCTGAGATTAGCTAGTTATTAGTGTCATATAAATTTAGTTGGAAAGGAAGTTAGAAATGTCCTTGGCACAAGGAATCAAAGGATAACTGTTGTTTAGAGGAACTTGAAATTGAATATAGCTCAACGTCCTCATTTTTTTTTGTAGATGAGGAAGCTGAACTAGAGACTTATTTTATCCCCATTATTATAACAATGTTACTCGATTTATATTTACCAGCGATTCCAATGTTTATTGTTAGTGGGCTGCATATGGATAACAAAAGAATAATGCAGTTGTCTACTATTCATTCCCCCACTCGAGGGCATACTTCTGGTGGGCAGGCATCATGCTATGTATATCTTTGTGCTCTAGTTAGTAACTACTGTGGTTGGGGAAATTAAATAAGATAATACCTGCGATGCACTTAGCAGAGTGCCCAGCACACTTTAAGAGCTAAGTAAATGCTTTCATATTTGATTTTGTTGCTTTGATTATAATATGAGCATTCTTATTATAGAATATTTATGCACAGGAAATTTTTTAACATTTGTTGATTTTCATTGTATTATACAACAAAATAAAATCATATTTTATGCCCTTAAAATCCATTTATGTTTGAAGGGACATTAAAAAACTACAGAGTTCTTATCTGCTTAAGGCACTTTAAGTAAATGAGTAAAGATGAAAGAATTCCAATTAGTTAAAAATTACGCAGAAAATGTCTTCTTATGCATATGAGGATTCATGATTCATAAAGATAATATTTCTAATGAAAATATAAAAATCTTATATCAAGTTAAGTTCATTTTTCCTTAGGTAAGAACCAGACATCTGAGCTGCATGACCATAGGAGTGTGGAGTCCATACCAATGGCCAAGGGCTGTAAATCCTAAAATCAGAATGTGACTTCTTTTAGGAGATATTCCACAGAGAAAGAGTATCAAAACATTAAAAGAAATGAATCACAGTCTGTTTTTCCTGAGGATTCTAACAATGTTATCAAAGTTTTTTTTCTCAATTCTTACAATCTCTACAGCACCTTTCCCCCCTTCTACTTTTCTATTATATAATCAGCATATAATTATGTGCTGTTTCACACTGGAAAGACTATTCTTTTATTAATGACTCTTTGAAAAGTTCTTTATTATTTATCTTTGAAAATGAGTTTGAAATCAAAAGGCTTTCATGGCTTTTCCTTTTTTTCTTTTTAACTTAGGAGTTCTTTAAAGTAATACAGTAGATGGTTACAGATGTCATACGCAGTCATTAGTTTCCAGCTTTAAGGTGAGAAGTAGGGTTCGGGAAACAATGTTGCACCCTCCTTTCTCTGCAGACTAAATGTTTGGGGTTTTGAAGAGCATGTATGCAAATATTGCTGTTCTAACAAAGGCTGTCTATTCTTTGCCTTTTCCCCTTGTTAGGACAATTAGAAAATGGGTTATGACAATAAGCTTCCTGAATTTAGTACAAAGACAGAAGGAGGATATAATTAGCATTTATGGGAAGTACAATGTAAGTTCCAAATTTGTCTTAAATGAGAAATTCACCCAGCCCCTGATCTGTAGTCAATTCTGGAAAGTACCATGCATCTCTGCTGAGGCCAAGCAAGCCTCATTGATGTTTTTGGCTGACTGGTTTTTTTCTAACATTAAATTTACCAGAGCACTCCAGATTGGATACGGGCAGTTATGAAGGAGGATGTACATTACTGCAAATTTTAATCATTTCTCGAGCCATTTTGCTTGCAGTGATAATCCCATAAGACCAACATATCTTGCGTAAGGAACGCAAATGACTTTTTGCTGAGAGCAGCTCTTCAGTTACTTTTATAGCCTATTCCTGCTTAACTTCTAGACTTTCCCATTTGTGGCTAGGACCTGCCAAATCAGGGCTTCAGTGGCTTCTTGGCTCACCACAGCCATGGCTACCTTATTCAAGACCAGCAAGTGGATAATAACACCAGTGATTAAAATAATGATCAGATTTCTTTTCAATAATATTGCTGCTGTTTATGTAGGGCAGAACCTACCTCTACCCAACACTTCCACTGTGGGCAAAGTAATGTCGTGCCAGAACTATTTCAAGAATTTATCTCATCTCCAATACTTTTTGGACTATTTCAAAGGAGATGGCAGAACACTAATAACATGATGACCTTGACAACTTTGCTTCTTTGGGGCCTCAGGGAAATCCACCTAATTGTTTTGTGAGCCAAACTAATATTCGTAATTGAACATCATTTTGCCCAGGCATTTGAAATGCCATGACGTTCCTTTAGTTGAAAATGTCCAAGTAGCTTCATTTTCACCAGCAATCTTTTTACTTGTGAAGGAAAAAGTAACAATAATTTACTTTGATTGTACTGAAGAAGCTCCTTCTCTCAAGCCCTCTTATCTTCTCTTATATATAATGATTTTTCCTTTTTAAATGAGAATCATAGACTCTCAGGGTTGGAAGGAATTTTTAAGATAATTTAATACAAACACCCACTATTGCATGAATCCTCTCTACAGTATCTTCAATGAGGTCTTCCATTAACAGCTGTTCTCCAGGGCAAAGGAGATGAAGGAAAAATAGAAAGGGCAATCCACTATAAGTTATATGAATTTATAAATAAAACAAACTAGAGGATCTAGATGTGGTCTTCCCTACTCACAAGTTCTCAGTCTTTCATCTATCTTGTTTAATTACATTATGAAGAATTTGTGAAGCAGAGACTCAATTTTACGTTTGAACTATCGAGAATATGGCCCGACAGGGAGTGAAGCAACACTTCTAAAACAATTTATTATGAGAATTTAGATCACATGCTTCTGACCTTTTCATTTCAATGATCCAAAAAGCTAAAAATATTTTTAAAGGTCTACTTTATATGAACAGAATTATAGGAAACTTTCATCACTATTGCTTAAGAATAAGTTAAATGATCTAGTATAAACTACAGGTTAAGAGATTAGGTTCTGGAATGAAAATATACGGTTTGATCTGTAACTTCCCGTTAATTAGCTATATGACCTTGGGAAGTCACTTAACATTTTAAAGCTTTGGTTTACTCAGCTGTAAAAGGAGATAATAATATTACCTCTTTCACTGGGCTATTAAGAGGATTAAATGAGCTAATTCACATGAAGCACATTGTTCAGTATATGGCATATGTTTTAAGCATCTAATAAGTGTTAGCTTCCTCATACCCACTGATGTAATAAAAACATAGAATTACGATGTAGAGAACTCACTATTTTTAAAAAAAAAATTGTTTCAGAATCTTAAATCTCCAGGCATTTACATGAGTGCTATTTTAGACTAAGGGTTAATAGTGTTAGGAAAAAAATTTTCATGCTATAAATAGCTTATAAGGAAATTTTACATTGCCAGAATGGTTTTAACAAATCAATATGGATTATATCATGTGCTAACTGAATAATACCATTATTCTAATTAACTGGTCATGCACTCCACAGATTCTGGAAGAGTGTCAGCCTTCAACTTATGAGCCTAGAGTCATGAAATCATTTGACAAAATATAAAGTTATTATTTATTAGAAACTTGGTTACTTCTCTGTATGTCTGAATAGTCAATGCACTAAAGATATTACTCAACATTATATATCTGATGGGATTTTAAAATAATCCTCTTGAATATGTCCACACAAGGTTTTTTTAAAAAAAAAAAACTGCTATTGTTAATCAATACCGTAAATTACAGTCTCTAGTTTTATGTTACATTTTATTAAATAAAATATCCCCTTTTTATAAAACGTTATTCTGTTCTAGCCCCCAGTTATCCAGTTCTAAACAGTAGTCAGCTTTCCCCTTAGGGCAAAAAGCAAAATAAGACAGAACTTTCATTTGCTGATTCCACAAAGAATTTAAATTCTGCCAGTCCAGAATATCCATGGAGGTAATTAGAAAATGAAAGAATAAAGCTATTTTTCACTTCTCTCCTACCCCCCAGAAATCAGTCATTGCAAGCTGAAATACCTCACTGTCTGAAGAGCATTCCTTTTATATTGACCCTGAGATTTGAAAACTCCTCTTGATAACTCATTACATGATTACAAACTTAACCATTAGAAAACTATTTATTGATCCAGAAATCAGGGAGGTCAAAATAATTACTCTCATAAAAATGAAAGAATATTAACTGGGAAATGTTTGTTGAGTCATATATAAATTCTCTTTTTTTCAGAATTTATTCAGATTACTATCCATCAGAAGAATGAGGGATTGGGGTCACCTTCCCAGCATTTAACACGCATCCTTGGGGCGGGGGTGTTCACGTTTTTGTCAGTATCTCATGAAGGAACAAAGAGTATTTAATTATTAGGTAATATGACAGTTGATGGCAATCTACAGAAGATGTTATTCTGGGTGAAATAAAAATGTGCTATGAAAAAATGAAGCAGGGAGAAAATGGGAGAAAAATGTACTATGGAAAACTATTACCTCTCATCCTACAACCACCACTTAAAGATGTCACTGCACATGCTCCGTGCTCTATTAATTGAGAGACTTTTTGCTTTCACAGGCTGGCTGTCCACTTACCCTAGTTGTTTTCACTTTATTCCCAGAGGAACAGCTCCATCCTTTCCGATCTGGAAGAACTTTACATTCCTCTCCCTCAAGACATGGTTGCATATGGCACCACCATTTCTGTTCCACTATTGAAGCTACAGGAGATAGAAAAATCAATTTAATATTTTCTATTTGGGCTTGTTAATTCTTTGGGTGCACATTTAAAGAGGAACAAAAGCCACATATTTCTCCCACCACTGGGCTGATTAGATTTTGAAGGATGCTTTTTTTTTTTTTTGGTCCAAAGGGAATAAATCTTTCTAGATTTTTTGACTAAAAATATTTTTTTAATTTTTATTTTACTTTGGTAAGAACACTTAAAATTTTAAGATGGTAGATCTCATGTTAAGTGTATAATACAGTATTGTTAATGATAGGCACATTTTTAAAGGATATTTCATGCCAACATATAGGCTTCATGGACAGTAACATATTGGAAAGAAACTACGTGGATACATGCATGTGCTGATTTACATAAACATATAAGAAAGTGAGTCCATGACCAGAGTCAATATTTTAGAATCAATGTAGTATTTCCCACAAGTAGGCTAAAATCAGGAAGGCATTCAAATGAACACAATCTTTTTTTACTGTGGGCAGTAACTATCACCACAAGGAGTGCACCATGAAAATATGAGCACTTAACACATTATTATTCATGATAACATCAATTATACAGACCCACATAAATGTTTATATCCTTTGTAATTAGGTGAATCCTCCAAGAAAGAAATTAATATTTTGATAAATCTCTATAAAAATATTTCATGTGAATTCTATCCACAGCTAAACGTTCACTCATCTGTGCAGTGTTTATTTTTTCATTGTTAAGAACCAGCCATGTGTTTAGGTACCCACACTATTTAATCATCTATTTTCATTTTTCCTTCACCAAATAATTTATACACACACACACACACACACACACACACACACACTCGCCCTCCACTGGCAAATCAATATTTCATGGCATCAAAGTAAGAGGCACATGGACTTATTGGAACCTCATTTTAATGCCTTTTGCTACAAAACCGCATAAGATCTTAGACCATCTTCCAATAGATTTTAGATTTCAAAACGCTCTTCAAGTGACCTTGTACCAACCACATGGTTGATGGTGCGGTCCCCCAGGATTAACCCCAGTCATCAGCATCATAGTGGGATTCCAGTTCTAAGCAGTCCTCATCTACCCTATCCCAAAGAGCAATGGAAGAAGCCTCACCATCCACACAAGATGGAGCAGCTCGTGTGGTACCTGCCACCTGCCCAGGGAAGCAGGAGCACTTGACTGTTTGTGACCGTTCTTCTATCTTGTTCTTATTACAACATCTGTGGAGTGCCACCACCTCGCAAGTGCCCGTTTTAACATGGTGAACTGCACAAACAAAAACAAAAGTTGAGATAACATTGAGAAAGCTTTGGATACTCCCCCCTCTTTTTAATTAGAAGCACATTAAATATAGCTCTATAAAGGATCCACCATGCATGAAACTAGAAATACAATGATGCTGACTCCATAATGCAGATTTGATCTCTTTGTTAAATGTGGTAGGACCATTTCTGTCAGTAAATGCTTGGTGAAGCAGGAACAATTAGTGACTAGATTAGAATGAACTGTTAGAGCAGTCTGAAATATAGAGGCAATGTGTGGTATCATCAAAAACATATTTATTTGCATATGACTTTTTTTACACCTTTTTGTTCAACGTGTTGATCAAAGTAAGGGAACCCCCGGACAAGGTGCCCTGTACTAGGGCTGAGACAAACCTTATTCTCAAAGTAGGTGGGTTGATAAAGGTTATATTCTTCATCTAGGGGTGAGTGTAAGGGCCAGGAAGGGAAATTCTTTTCAGAAATCAGGAGGCAGAGGGTGGGAACCCACTTCCTCAGGATTCTTCTGCTCAATTTCCCTGGAAATGAACTAATTGGGTGATTTTTGAAATTCCTGCCATTTGCCTGAACGTTCCATCCAGCCTCAGGGATGGCTGCGGCATGAAGCCAACAGTATTTCCCGCACCTCCTGGGGGGGGCTGGCCCCACCCCTCGGCCAAGGCAAGGGCTCCAGGAGCTCCCTTGCCCCCCACCTTGCACCCTGGTTCTAAGTTTACAAAGTGTTTTCCTCGTTCCTTCAAGTCCTCTTCCCTGCCTCTGACATTCCCTCCCTCCCTCCCACCTGCAGGGCTGAGATCAGAGGGTGGTGATGGTAAAGGGACCCGACAATGACATGACCCTCCTGTCTCAGGTCAGGGGAGAGAGCTCGGTGGCCTCCCCTCGCCCTTGTGTTTACATTTGCAGTCTGAAGCACTTTAAGTTACGTGGGGTTTTTTGGTTTTGGGTTTTTTTTGTTTTTTTTTTTTGGTTTGTCTGTTCCTGTAACTTATTCTCCAACTACTGCTTCCAACTGAAATACGACAATTAAATGCCTGTTCAGGAGGGAAAAAAAAAAAAATCATTCCTTTCCATTTTGCCTGAGGGAACAACTGCCACCGAATGACAACCACCACAGCCAGAACTTGGATGGATTTATATCTAGCCTGGAAAAAGCCAGTTCACTAAGCTGTGAGGCTCCATCACCCATTTTCTTAACCTCACAGTAAGGCTACTGAACTGTTTGGGTGATTGAAATTTTTGGACCTCACTTATCACATTAGGATAGGGTTCGAGTTTGCCTTCATTGTGTTTTCTACCCAGCATCTCTTCTTCAAAGTATTAACCCTACTGTGAAATGATCAAGCAAAATTTCCATCTGCTAAAGATAAAACCAGCTTAAAATCAAACATTTGTTGAAATGTTATGCTTTCAGAAATGTAAGAACGTGACTGATATAAAAACAGATTTAAATAGAAAAGTAGGACATAGGAAGTTGTTTAATGTTATAAAGTATACTGAGATCATTTTGTAAATGAGATGAGTACATCATGCATTCATATCAATCTTCCCCTCAGAGATGAGGAACCACTAGGCAGTAACTCAGGTTAGATTGCTTGGATTTTTCTTCTAAGAGAGACCAAACCGCATGGATTGTCCACCTCACCCCCCATGTGAAACCGAGAAACTCAGGTGTAACATACAGCTTTGACACATAATCCTCAAAAGAATGTTAAGAAGCAGATACCATTTCCAATGTCACAAAGATTTTTCTGTCATGGTAGATACAAATGGGGATTTCTCCATGTGTGATTCAAACATAAGGCTATCAAACAAAAGCTAAAAACTTGAAAGCCGGATTTCTGTTCCTTGTGCTGTAGAAAATATTTTCTTAGCTAAGGATGATTCAGTTTGTTTTAATTTATTGAATGCTTTATGTAATATTATACGAGTCAAAATACTGCTTTCTACACTGAACCTCACTTAGTCACATTTTGAGTCAATACCACATATCAGGCATGGTTCTGAGTAATGGGGATGCAACAATGTGTAAGATGGACACAGACCTGCCCTCAAAGAGCTCATATTCCTGTGGAGAAAACAAATAATAATTAGGTACTAATGATTAAGTAAGACAATATTAGATTTTCTAGCTCCTTGAAAGAAATGCAGTAGGGTAATGTGATTGAGAGTAATCAAGCATGGAGGGAAGGCAGATTTTTGTGACTCTCAGGGAAAACCTCTCTGAGGAGGTAACCTGAATAATGGCCTGAATGATGAGAAGAAAGCCTCCATGATGAAGAGCTAAGAAAGGAGGAACTTTCCAAAGAGAAGGAGCAGAAAATGACAAGGTTCTGAAATGGGGAAACGTGTGGTGTGTTCCCAGGACAGCAAGATGGCCAGTGTGGATGTACTGTGGCTGAACAGCTGAGAGGCTGAGGACAATATGTCAGAAACGTAGGAAGATGGTGTAGGGGCGGGGGTGCCATGGTAAAGAGATTGGATTTTATTCTCGTTGCAAGGGAAAGCCTTTGGGTGGAAATGTTGTCATCTCATTAATGCTTTAGAAGTTTGCTCAAGCTGCTCGTTAGAGAATGGACTGAAGAAAGCAAGAGTGAAAGCAGGGAGACCAGTCGTGAAGGGGTTGCAGGAGTTCAGGAGGTGAAGGATGGGACACAGACTAGACTAAGGGTTGGGAAGAAGTACCAGATGAGGGATATTTCAGAGTAGAGTTGGTTTGACTTGCTAATGGATTGAGTGTGAGCTGTGAGGGGAAGAGGAATTAAGGATTACTCCTAAGCTTGTCCTGAGGAATTAGAATTTGGTGGTTCTGGAAGATAGAGGAGGCCTGGGAAAGGGGAGTTTGGCAAAAGTTGGGTTGGGTCGAAATTACTGTAGTTCTGTTTTGTCTGTGTTAAGTCTGAGATTCTTACAAGACACAGGAGTAGAGATGTAAATCAGGCAGCAACATTTATAAAATGGAGCTTAGGGAAGAGATCTGGACTGCAGATACACACTTAAGAGATCTAGGTTGATAGGTGATATTTAAAGCCATAGACTGGACTAAATTACCATGGAAAGGCTACCGCTACCGATAGAGAAGTAGGGAAGGAATAGTCCAGAACCTAAATCTGGAAGAGGGGAGACAGAAGAAAAAACTGATACAGAGCAGAACGTGAGGTAAGAGAAAAAGAACATGAGATAAAGGCATGGAAAACCAAAGAATAAAATGTTTCAAGAAAGAGGGGTTGGTCAGTTATGTCAAATGTTGCTGAAAGGTTTAATAAATGAAGCGAAATAATTGTCTACTAAAAAAATAATATGATGCAGCAGTTAAAACAGAGCCTCCAAAACCACAGTAGGTAGGTTCAAATCTAAGCTTCTTCAAACAGCACTGTAACCTTGGACACATCATCAGATATCTCTGATTAGTATTTTTTCATATCTAAAAGAGGGATATTAATAGCAGCATCTTCATATGGTTGATCTGGGGATTAAATGAGTTAATATGTATAAAGTATTTAGAACACTCCCTGCCTCATAGCAGGTACTCTGTGTTAGCTATTATTAGCACTTGATCTAGATAAAAATCATTTTAATGGCATGATGAAAATAAAAGCATGATTATAGTAAGTTTATTAGAGAATGAGATGCAAAACTGCAGATAATTATAAAAATTTCTTTCAGGGAGTTTTTCTGTGAAGGGAAGAAGGAGATGAAGTAATAGTTGGAATGAAGCAAAGGTTCAAAGAAAGTTTTTTAATGGGTGCCATAAAAGCATGCTTGCTTGCTGGAAAAATCTGAGAAAAAGAAAATGACAATATAGGAGAGAAAGTGGATAATTAAAAAAAGAACTTCCTTAAAGGGAAGTAAGGAATTGAGATTGAGGGCACCTAGGGGGTTGGCATTAGATTCATGTGGGGACATTTAATCCTAAGAGTGAAGGTGAGATACGTGAATACAGAGTCAGGTAGGTGTGAGCGGATTAGTTGGTGAGAAGATGAAGTTTCATATCTGATTTTATCTCATTTTGCTATGAAATATGAGAGATGTTTGAGAAGAAAAACAGAATATGAAATATATATTTCAAAGAGGAAGAATAAATTTACTGGGAAAGAGTAGTAGGACTGCCCGGCAGGGAGTTGGCTGATATGCACCCAGTAAACTGTAGAGGACACAGTGGAATGAATGAAGGGGTGGGATTACAGAACAAAATGGAAATAAACGTCTGTGTGATGATAGATCATTTGGGGTGCTTGGAGCTCTGATAGCAATTTAGGGAAACAGAGATGTAAGTCATGATGAGATGTGTCCTGCAAGTCTTTGAATGGAAGCCAGTTTAGAGAACAAGGGATTATTAGGGTTTCTTCAGAGAGTGATGCTAGCAGGCAGAGGACCGAGCTGAGACAGCTTCAGGAAGAGCTGGATAGTGGCTGGGCTCTCTTTTCCACAGAACTGCAGCGGCCAGGAGCACACAGCGAGGTTCCACTAGTCTCTATCCTGAGAAAAGAGGCAGGCACCATTTCAGCATCATCCACCAGGGCCATTTTATCAACTTTGTTACAAGGAAATTTTTATCATATGTTGGAAAAGAATTGACGGGTGAAAAATTTGCTCCTGGTTTTCCCTTCCCAATGCCAATGTCAAAATTCATTTCTACTTTTCCTGACAAGGAAAACTGTACTTCTCCACCCCACTAATTAAATCTAGATGTGGTGATGTGACTTGCTTTGGCCAATGAAATGAAAGCTGAACTTACGAGCAAAAGCAAAGGATATCAGTCTGTGTGGACATTTTAATAGCTAGTGTCATTCACCAGATTTCTCCCACCAGCAAGAGCAACTAATTACATTCTTGATAGTAGAGACTATATCAGCCTGAGTCCCCAAGAGACACGAAACAGAGTCCCCGCCAACCATATGGACATATGAGTGAGAAACCTTAAAGTGTTATAAGCCTCTAAAATTTCGTGGTTGTTTGCTACTGTCACAAAACTTAGCCTACCCT